GCCGTGGGGGTATAGCTGAACCCAGAGAGAGTGGACGGGAGGGCAAGCAAAAAGAGTGAGCTCCCGAGTTCCCTAGAGCGAATGCTGCCGCAACAAAAAGGGACTGAAAAGAACGTGTAGACGAGAGAACTGCCTTCCCAGAGCCGGTCACCTGGACGTCAGCATGCAGGATCGCCCTCCATGATATGGCGCGCAGGACATGGCATGGCAAGGTCCCGAGGGGCAGGCGATGGTGGAGGGGCCCCTGTTCCGGCCGTGTAGGGATGACATGGGAATGGGCCTCTGTGGCGGCGCGGGATGGACCTCGCTGCGTGACCCGAGCGGCGTGCACCAGCTTGTCAATCCATAAAGGGTGGTGCGCTCAGCCTCTTGACGTCCCTTGGATCAGATCAAAAGTGGCCTTGTGGGCAAGGGAGGTCGTTGTTGGGCGGATGGCTATACAGGAAGCGGGATAATGCGTCGTTCCCGATCAGGAAGTGGGCGCAAGGGCTCGTCTCGAAGATCCCTGCTCGGCACCGGAATCTGGAACGATACTGGGCACGAGGGAGGGCTGCCATGGCGCGCTTCGCATGAAGACCATGACGACAACGACGAGGGGTCCGCGGGATGGAGGGGAGGGGAGGGGAGCTGCCATCCGAAGAATGTTCGTTCTAATTGAGACGAATATATCCAATGTTCATCTGGGAGCGTTCAGTCTGGGAAATGAAGTGTGCGGAATCACCACGAGTCGGAGACCATGATGCCAAGCACAGTCGAGAGACACAAGCTGCATGAGCATCGCGAGCTGCTTCCACTCTGACGGCGGGGCTGCTTCCTCGAGGCGAGTCTCAAGTCGGAGGCGACAAGGATGGCATGAGTCGAGAAGTGATGAATCGTTCCCCGGTGTGTCCGAAAGAAAAAAAATTCATCATCGAGAAGAGGCCCTGCTGCGAAAACGACAAACGCGCTCTGACGTGGGGAGAAGTCTGAGACGAAGACAGGAGGAAGCCGATGGAGTCTTGTCTGAGATGCCTGGGAATGGCCCATGCTTGATACGAAACACATCACGTGACTTCGTGACATAAGCGGCACGAGCCATGGGGAGGCACCACCCGGTTCAGGGATGGTCCCTTGGGACGACTCGCGGCCTATCGAACCGAATGACAACCCTTGATCGACTCAATTTACAGGATCCTTCCCCGTGAGCCCACATCATCTTAGCTCGCATGATCGTCCCAGGGTAGCTTCAATGCCCACGCGCTGTTCCGCCAAAGGTCATTGAGGCAAGCAATCTAGGGCGGATCCCGGCCGAGTCGTTTTCGGTTGAGACGCCATTATTGTCAACCCCGAGACAGACCAGCGATCGATCACGGGGTCGATAATCGATTGCCGGGAATGCCACGTCGATGTGTGGCCGACAGGCACCGAGCACAGCCTTTGGCATTGATGATCATGCTCCCGAGTCGTGGTCACGAGGCAACTACCAGGCCACGAAGTCATCGAAGAAGAGACATGCAGTCGTGTATTCATCAGCTCCCTGGCCTCGGCTCCCCTCAAGCCCCAAATCCCATGTCAGATCACTCCTGAGATATCGATCAAAACATACATCTTTCAACTCCAGCGCCCGCTAAGAACAAAATGTCCGAACAAAAGAACCCTCAAAGGATTGTCGATTACACCTGATCACCTTGTCTCTCTTGCTCTCCGCTTGTCGGCCGATATAGATATGCCCTACCCCGGTAGACACTCGTCGGACTCGTCGGGCTTGCCGGCGCCAACGGGTCGTTGAGCCCGACCACGAGACTCTCCTCGCTCCGACTCCACCGATCGCCAAGCGCCCGTGGTCTCTCGAGCCCCATCTCCAGGCACTCGACATCGCCCTCCAGGTGCCCGCTCACCTCTGACGTTCGTCGGCTGACGTCCAGTATTGGCCTGTCGTCTCCCATTCCGAGCCGACTCCTGTTCGCCGTAGCACCGGCAGACATGCCGCCGACCATGCTCCTCAAGCTCAGCGACGTCGGCGTCCTCATGCCCACGAGCGCAACAGCCGGCATGGGCGGTCGCGGCGCCCCCTTTCTCGTCTTGGTCAACTTGTTCAGACTGCTGCCAACGCTCCCGTTGCGGCTTCGCCCCAGCTCAGGTGTCCCCGGCTCCGTCCACGGATACCCTCTGTAGCTGACGGCCGTCAGATTCTCGCTGCGCACCGCCGTCGGGGCGGCGGGCATCGCCGGCACGAAGGGGCCTCATGGAACCTCCGGCGCGGATCGGCCATGATCCACGGGTACATTCTCGCGAG